TCGATAGTCACGCATATAGCAGCATGAATGGTAGCGTGAATGTTATCACAGAGGATAATGGGAATGCTAATAAGGGTGATGATTTCGTATGGGACGTTGACTTGAATGATTTCGAATGGGAGGTTGAGCCGGACAATATTGAAGTTAAGGACAGTCATGCTGTGGAAGATGATGTGTGGGCTGTTGGAAAGGATGAGACAGCATACGGTGACGGAAGCATTGGTATGGTTCATCTGAGATCTAGGCCTTTGGTATTTGGGGACAATAATGGTAGATGGGAGAGATGAACATGGGCACTCTCGACAAGTCGGACTTTCTTCGAGGCGAAGCAATCCGACTGTCGAATTTTATATTTTTTAATAAAAAAACTCTCCCCTTTATTTAAATAAAACGTAAGCTTGCTTCAAGAGGCTTCTCGCTTTTTTCCAATCAGATTTTTTTTGCGAGAGTACCGATCCATTTACTTTTTGTATCAGAGTTTTGTTGTGAGTATCCTGAATATAACCGTATTGCTTATGGTTTCTTCTCTTCCCCTTCTTTTTTCGAAAAGAATAAGCATAACTAATACGCGAGAGATATCATTAACTGTGGCAGATTAAATTAAACTGACTTTTGGGGTCTTCTTGAGTCCACCCTTAAAGTTCAAAAACCCACATATTAATATACTCCTCTATTATCAACATTCTAGTCCAAATTCAAAGTCTAAAAAATTACCCCCTCAAAAAAAATAATAATAAAATTTTTTTTTAAATTTCCTATATTAAAATAGGAAAGTCGTTTAATCTGTCACATTAACTGATGACTTTACATGATTTAGTGATGATAACAATTCACGATCTCGGTCTGCGTTCGCTACCAACTCGGCCGTGTTTACGTTTACTTACACAAACATGTGATATTCCTTCGTATTGAAGCGCTGGAATTGCCCGTATACCAAGAATCGTATCCGGGATAACTTAACGGGCAATTTGAGTGCTTTTTGGTTTCCAGAAGTATTACAGAAAATCAAGTACAAAAATCAGCTATAATTACAACATCGATTCCTTTTATATTTATTTACGTCGACATCATCCGGTACAAAACACACCAACGTACAAACCATTTATATAATTTTTATGTTATTCTGTGGTTTTATAAATAAAATTGATGTTTTCGTTGTTTTTTGTGTATGTGTTTTTTATTCTTTTTTATTTCCTTTTCGTTGTATACACCAAATTTGCATATTCACTAGGGCGATTGCATGGGAGGAAACACGCACTCAAGGCCATTAATGAGTACCCCTATACTCTGACAAAATCCAGGCTACATATCATTATGAACACCTTCATTTTCCTTCTCCTTTTCTTCATCAACCCATTCCCGTATACCGCTTCGACAGTCCTTTTCCATGGGTTGGTTTTTTTCGTTGGTAAAGCTATTCAGTGTAGAGCTGGCAATGCCTTTTTCCCTCGCGTAACTCACGTATTCGAGTGATCACTTTGGTAAATGAAAAGCCCCGAGTCCCAGCCCAGATTTTGTATCAGATAAGTTTTAAAAAGTTCCATAGATTTTCAACGTCGTCTGCGTATTTTCGTTCGCTGGGCAGCTTGAATTACTATTCAAGCTTTCAATTTATATTGCAGAATTGAATGTATGTTTTAGAGCAAATGACCATCGACAAGAGCCCGCAAACGAATTCGACAGCGAAAAAGAAACTTTTTTGATGATTGGCTATTCGCCTTTTATAGAGTGACTTGTTCAGTATTGATGTTGAAAAATTTGTAGCCTTTCTAAGACAAATTAAAGTAGTTATGATTTTCCCTTTTTGGTAAAATTCATGGGTAATTTTTTTATCTAGAAGAGTTTGGGTATCATTGATTTAAAAACATAAAGTGCAATTTTTCTTCTTAAAATGTTTTTTATATAAATATAAACTGGTTTCATATTATATTTTTTATAGAGATAGACGTGTATGAAATACGGTATATAACTGATATGATGATGATGCAAGTAAAAAATATCAAATTATCCATGAATGCCACAGCTGTGACTAAATACTAATACTAAATCAAAATCAGCCACACTAGTACTTAAATTTAATTTTAGGCAAGAGTATTATCGAAGTAAAATGCTGAAGATGCCCGTTTACTGTCGAAAATACGACTATTGGCAATTAAAGAGTTTAACACATAATATGAAAACTTTTCTGCATGGTAAGTGACGTATTATGACTCATTCCTTCATTTCGTATTACTCAAAGTTTCTCATACCTCAAACTCACGATTTTAAGTTAATTACCTATGATCACGTAATTTGTCTATTACCATATTTGGCAGTTAATACTTTATTTTATCAAAAGAGATATACTCGATTATACTTTTAAATTATCAAGCCCTGTTAATTCCGCTTTTGCTCTATTAATCCTTTTTAGCGGGAAGGACCGTCTTTTATAACTCCCGTTATCGTTACTATCGTCAACAAATCTATCGTCAACAAATCTGTTCGCTCCCTCCACTTCCTATTTACTGACCAAAGATAGCAGCCCATACATGATCAGCAACACGGAAAGCGAACCCTGCAGTGACCCAAATACCGCCGACAATCCCGCAAAGACGCACCAAGAAGGCAGCGAACGAGGACCGCTTTTCCGTTATGTGAACTGAGATTGGCTCGATTTCATACGAAAAGAAGATTCCTGTTTGCGCGCGGTCATAAATTGGTTAAGCACAAACAACAATAACGTGAATTTTTTCTCTTCATTTGAGATAAATATAATAATACCTGGGACTCCTTCGTTGTTAAATTCAATATCTTTTGAGTAGTCAGTCACTGCGTACTGATTTGTTAATAATGTACGACCGCTGTTGTCCACATAAGTTGTTGGAACCTGAAAACGAAGCAAAGAACGGTGTCGTATAAGGAAAACGAAGCAAAAAGCGCGAAAATTTATAAAGCCATTTACTTACGACTGATATGAAATACTTGAATACAGTAGAATCTGTCGCCACCGAAAGAGAAAGTATAAGTAAGCCAGATTCTCGAGAAATTTAAACATTAAAAATCATCCCTCTCGGTTAAAACATTGAATTTTAGCTTACGTTGATCAGTAATTTCAACGCTGTCGTCCAATGGATTGACTAATTTCGGATAAAGTGTACCGAATGAAAATTCGTCTATTCTGTGAGTGAAATTAATTGCTGTCAAAAAAAGTGTTTGTGAGCACATAATACTACAAGATGTTCACACATTAAATCAATTACGTCTTATCATACCAGACTTATCCATAACTTGATGCTGGATATATCCTTGTCCAACGGCAGTAATGTGAAAGTTTCCTGCTACTTTGTTGACCGCGAAGGATCCATATATCCTACAGGACGAAAAGGTGTCTAGTTAAGATTTAGATAATACTGTTAACTTTTGACCGATTATTCGAAACAATATAAAGATGGTATTCATAAATGTCTGACTAACCATCGGCCGGCACTTCTGATCCCGAGTTCCAACCTTTGGCTCTTGCATCCTTGATTAGCTTTCGTATGTCTACGTCCATATCTATTTCACTTAGGAGGAATTCCCTTATAATATATTCGACAAATTGAGGTCAGTTTCCGCGGACTAGATGATTAGAACGAAAGAAAGACAAATCAATCTCGCAATGATCACCCTAAATGATTTCGCTATACCTGAGTTTGCGAGCAGACCTTACTTCAAACTTTGCCTAAGTTGGCATGAATCATATAGCTCGATAATAAATATCTAACCAACGTATGAGGATTTCGTGTATGCGCGCACACACATGCGCACAACAGCGACAACAACAACAAACAAGCACACATTATATATATACTTACGGGTACTGTTCTAATAACTTCATCGAGATTTGTACGTTCACCTGTCAGCTCCAATTCGTCAATAGATATGGCTGCAAATTATACAATAAGCTGAATTAGCATGATAATACGAGAATCTGTATTTCCGTCAGTCAGTTATACCGTTCGTCTCGACCTCGTTTAGCCAACACGATCCGATTTTTCATTTATAAAATGATGCTTACAAGAACAAGGCATTGCAACTGTTATATCAACATTAATGTCCATGTGATGTCCGATACTTGAATCAACCACAAACTTGTACTTTTGATTGAGAGTCAAGTACTCTCTGAACTCGCTCAATATCAAAAACCATAGACAAATAGAAACAAAGACAGTCATGCATCCTCCTTGAGTGCTGCTGTGCTGATACCCAGCATCCACTTTTGGGAAGGCATCGAGCAAGACTATTTTTCTTAAATATTTGGCAAGCATTATGCAAAGAGTTTGTGAGGGAATTTTTTTAGAGATCGGCAGGAGAAGGTTTGGTTTCTTTGTGTTACTTATCCGACAAACCAATATCGATATATACAATATCGACGCGCGTATTATAGATTTTTGTTAACATTTATTCAAATTTCTAGTCGATAATCAAAAAGTGTAACTGGAAATATTACTAATAACTTTGACAGATACGTAGAATAAAGGGGGTTTATCGTATAAAGTTTGACGAGAGTTGACATTAGCGTCTTTCTTGATAGTAAACTCTCTGACAAGCCAAACCAAGTTTAACATAAACGTCTCAATGCTCGAATTGAGTTGCAATAGTTCATTGTGGAATAATGTGTTCAAATGTTTCGAGATGAACATTTTATGAGGTTCGATTGAGCGATAGATTTGATAGATTGTTTACTTTACGTTCTAAGAACGTCCGCAAGCATATAACATTATCTTTCTTGAAATGCGTTCGCAAACACAAAAGGTGTAACACGTTATACAAACATATCGTACGTGGGTGAAGATGGTGTATAAATGCAGGGTCTTTATGAAGACAATACCGTCTTGACATTGGTATTATAAATTGCTTTTCAACAACTGTTTATGTTTATCGTGGCTTGTTTTCTGACATTTCAGCCATCTGCGCTATTGTATTCTTTCTTGTAATTCGCCGAACAAAACAAAGACATTCTATATGAATAACTGTATTGTAATATGTGCTCATTCAAAACAACCTGAATTTGATAAGCATATTCCTCCAATTAGGTAAAGCCATTAACAGTACATTAATACGTCGATACATATTCATACTTGTACTACGCAGCACCAAATTAAATATGGGTATTATCAATTGACAATCTATTTCATATATAAGCGTCAAATATTGACTCATTAAGAAAAACATCTTTTACTCCAGCCTGACAAGGAATTTTTTTAAAACATCTACCCGCAAGAATGTTCGCTCCACCAAAACTCTCGGAACTCTGCTCAAAAATCTTGACCGAACTTCCACCGCCAGAAAATTTAATTACGCAAAAAAAGAACGGGCAACTACCGACAAAGTCTCCAAGTGCGTTTATTATCTATCGTTCGCTATACGTCAAGAAGCTTAGAAGTCAAGGCTATAGGTTTCAGCAGCGTTGTTTCTCAGCAGTAGCCACAAAAGCATGGGATCAAGAATCCAGCGATTTTAAAACGGAATTCCGAAAGTACGGCCATAGTGTTCGGTGTACGCTAGCGGGCTTGAAAAAGAAAAAGCCATGTAATAATATCTCTATTAGAAATATAAAAAAGAAAGCGGAAGAACAGGCAATGTGCAGTGAGCGCGTGGATAGGCAGCAATCAAGACAACCTCGACGTCAACAGCAACAACGACAACGACAACAACAACAAGATCAACATCAACAAGACCAATATCAACAAGAACACCACCACCACCACCAACAACAACAACAACACCATCACGAACAACAACAGTATCAGCAGCAGCAGCAACAACAACAGCATAAGCAACCACAACAATATCAACAATATCAACGGCAGCAACAGCAGCATATGCCGCAACAAATGCAATTGCCGCAACAGCAGCAACAACAACAACCAGAACCGCAACCAGAACCGCAACCGCAACAGCAAGTCATTATCAATAACTTTGTCGCTAATCAGTTTAATTTTCTAAACTGCACCGTTCTCCCTATTGTCCCATTCCCATACTCGCAAGAATATTCAAATTTTTTCGCCGACACCAATCAAGAAGAAACGACACCATTATACTCACCATTCGTTTATCCTTTTTCATCGTTACCCGTTT